TCATCCTGTATATATAGAAAATATTCAGAAAGTGAAATTCTCAAGTTTATTTGAAAACAGTGTTATTTCGTACGTAAGAAAATGCCAACTTACCCGGTACTGTGACAAAGTAAATAGTCAAAGACTGTAAGGCGAATATTACCATCTCACCCCTAGAAGTGATGTCGAATGGTAACCAGGTTGACATCATTACCATACAAAGTTCATGAATGTCTTTCTCTTCATTGATCCGCAGGCAATCGAAAGACTCGAAGTAGGCCGTGACAGCGTAGGTGAAAGTTGCAAAAATGCCGTAGAATATGCAAAATTTTGATATGTTATTGCATCGTTTGATAGTTTGCTCTAAGTCCGGAGTGATTCCGTATTTGTACAATCCGGTGATTTTTCGAATCAGCGAGGTCCAGTGATTGCTTCTGAAGGCAAATTTAGTACTTATCAGGGCGAGACCAGTTTCTGCTACGACTAAGGAAATATCTTCAGAGATGTCCAGTTCGTTCCCTTCTGCAAATCGTGGCAATTTCACCTATTTATCTTTAATGAGACATTCTGATTTACAAATTCACTGATGATTTCTTCTCGAGGTTAATCTAATGAATAGGTTTCGCAATTTTTGAAAAGCTGACAATTTATTGAAACTGGAATAGTGCTTATAAAATACTTAATTGGGAAAAAAATGTATAAAAAAGTAATTCATGAAAACTGAAGGGATAATTTTTTGAACCAGTTCAGTTTGAAGTTCTTTATTGATGAATTGTAGAGAACTCTATAACCTCAAGAACATGGTTTCTCTATACAGAGCTTTTCATGATGAGCGGTAATTAGCCGTTTCTAACAAACTATTCAACGGATCAACCTGAAAATTTTACAGTATGCATAAATCAATATGACCTACACGCCTAAAATATTTCAGATGAAGCGGCGTTGTCGCTTCTACTATAAAGTAGCGGCTTCTTTGATTTTTCAAATGGAACACCCCGTATATAATATCATATTATGATTCATTATCACTTTGT